GCAAGCTTAGTCCAGTATTTTTTTAGTTTCTGTTAAGACCTCACCAGTCCCCCATTAAAGTAATTCACAATAAATTACCCGTTCTAAAGTGCGGAGAAGGTTATTTTTACTAAAGTGCGGACTAGCGCCCTAAGCTTCGTATCTTTATGGACTTAAGTGCGGGTATTTTCATCCATTAAAGTTCGCGGTTAGAAGGACCCCCCAAAATGGAACATTTTCCTGCCGTCTTGGGGAAGAGTATCGTAGAGTGCCCCGGTAAAACTTTGTGGTGTTAAGTATGATACTAAAACACACTAACTGCCCTAAGGATTCACGTCCGATTTCATTCTAGGAGTCGAGATATGTTATTTTAAGTTTTTGGGATGTCATGGATGCAAATCGTTTGCTACAGGCTCAAGAACGCACTTTTTGTATACCATGTTATTTTAAGAAAATGTCCGTTTCGATGCGCTCTTCAAAAATGTTCGACTTGCGAACCATGATTTTCTGCGTCTGTGCCACGTAATTCAGCAAAAAGAGCATGTAATGGAGTGAAATGAGAGGGTGTGTCATCTCTAAAGTAAAATCTTTAAAAGAGCATAACTTAAGAACGGCTGGGAATAGGTGGCCGTTCTTTTTACCATCATGTGCGCCTAAAAAAAGTACACTATCGTGACAATCGATATCGGTCGATATGGTATAAATTGATAAAGTTATGCTCGATTATGTACGCGAAAACAGAAAAAGGGCGCTGGTGACAAAAAAAGTACTAACGATTCTGTTATTGTTTTGATATTCTGTCATCCCAGACTCTTGCGCATCTGGTGACCTATTTTTTATTCGCCAGTTCCGAGAAAAGTGTCGTTTCGATGCGTGGTGGGCCCGGGATGACAATTCGAGTTGAGTTGGAAGTTCATGTGAAGTCCTGGAAACAAGAAAAAAAGAAGATCCACGCTTCCCTAACTCAAAAAGTCATTAGAAACCGAGGGTAGCTTGTATGGAGACTTTTGTTCCTCGTGCGCTAAAACGCCGAATTAAATTTTTTATCTATACTTAACAGGAAAAAAGTTGCCTCCTTCGCGATATATAGGCAAATAAAGAATGGGTGCTATCATTTCGGGACAAAACAGGTGAAAATTTAGGTCGAAAAAAGTGTTTATAGACAAGGCATTTGAATTTAGCCAAAATCTGACTTGACCACGGGAATGCGCGCATAAAAGCACCCCTAGGGCAGTTTTTATACGGAGCAGTCTCATTTGCTTCCTGGATGTGCAGGGCCAAACATGGCCAAAAGTGGTGATTTTGGCCGTCCAAGGTGTCCATTTTCCGCGAAAATGGCGTTTTTTGGCGTCACTAAAAAAATCATTGCGAAGCAACTACTGGAGATATGCTTGTAAAACTTTGGGAGCGGTCGTGCGAACACATGCGCCAAGTTTTCTGCTAAAGTCTGCAGGCCAGATCTGCCGGGCGGCACATAAAACCGGAAAAAACCACCTAAAAAAAGAGCATGCCAAACAAAGTCTCACATTTCGCTGAATAACTTTTTATCTAGAAGAGTTAGACAAATTCTGATTGCGGGAACGGCTCCGCCGTGTGTTTTTACATATGTCTATGTCCCGTAGATAAAAAGTACATGTTGCAAAAAAAGTACATGTTGTACATAAATCTACCTTTGATATTCGGATTCCCCGTGAAAAACTACGCCTAGGCCGCAGGGTTACAAAGACGAGTCATTGCACTTATGCCCTTTTATAGACGCTTTTAGAAATCGGCCAAAACAGTATTTATTAATTTAGACAGTGTTCCGCTGACATGTCGCATGCTGCGATATGTCCACGTGAAAGAGCACCGAAAAGCACCCCTAGAACACCCTTCATACCCGTTCTAACGGTTCTCTTTCATCTTCATAATAATCAAATTAAAGAACACCATACAAAAAACAAGATCTCGTGTGTAGTGGCTCGCCAGGCATACTAAAACCAAGATGTCGTGTGGGCACATGCCAGACATCATATCTTGCGTTTGCAAACACACGCAAAGTCGGTAAACAGCTCAAAACGGGCTAAAAAGTAGACAGCACCCGGACTTCCCCGGTGGTCACCCACCCGAGTACTACCCGAGCTTGAGGCTGCTTAACTTCACAGAGCAGACGGGATATGGTGCTTTCAGCCTAAGATGGCCGTCTACATTTGACTTTGACCGACACACCTATTAGTGTTTATCACTCGTATACATTGGTACAACACATTTACACACTCACATGTCCACATACGTGGCCATAGACTGCACACGATGGCCCCCAATACCCCTTCTGGCCCTCAGAATTGGCTGGGTGGATGGCTACACTTTATATAGTAACAAAACAAAAAGGGGGGTGGTGTGGCGCACTCCAATACAAACGTGTGGCCAGCAGCTCACTCCTACAACGCAGCATACGTATTCTCTCCGATAGGAACCCCACACAGACCGACACCTTCATACACAGCAGTGCAGATAGCCGCCGCACCCCATATTTGCGCATACGCGGCCTGGAAACAATGTTAAACCACCAAAGTGGCCATTTACGACTTGCACAACCATACCTACGCTTCCTATGCGACATGACATGTGCACGTACGCGTCTTAGGCAATATGAACACCTTCGACACCTTCATACATGCACAGCGCGCGCTCCGCTTAAGTACGACACCAACTTGTCATATACATCATGCGTTTCCTCTCGTCACCTTTCATCACCTCCATATTCACACCCATGCGCCGTCACCTTCCTCGCGCCATCACCTTCACCATTTTCACCTCCATATCCGCGCTTCCTCCGCCGTCACCTTCCGCGTACGCGTCCATATTCGCTGCGTTTCCTCGCGCTTCCTGCCTGTTATTAATCCAAGCCAAAAACATCTCCAAACCCATACAATTAGAACAGCAAACAACTTCGCATTTTTTCACAAAGTCCTCAGCTTCATTTTGCATACTTTATCCTAGTCTAATTCACGCTATTCCGCTCTCTTTAACATACTTAAACTAAGTCTAATTCACGCTACTCTGCTCTCTCTAACATACTTAAACCAAGTCTAATTCGCGCTATTCTGCTCTCTTTAACATACTTAAACCAAGTCTAATTCACGCTACTCTGCTCTCTCTAACATACTTAAACCAAGTCTAATTCGCGCTATTCTGCTCTCTTTAACATACTTAAACCAAGTCTAATTCACGCTATTTCGCTCTCTTTTAACATACTTAAACCAAGTCTATTTCATGCTATTTCGCTCTCTTTTAACATAGTTAAACCAAGTCTATTTCATGCTATTCCGCTCTCTTTAACATACTTAAACCAAGTCTAATTCACGCTATTTCGCTATCTTTTAACATAGTTAAACCAAGTCTATTTCATGCTATTCCGCTCTCTTTAACATACTTAAACCAAGTCTAATTCACGCTATTTCGCTCTCTTTTAACATACTTAAACCAAGTCTATTTCATGCTATTCCGCTCTCTTTAACATAGTTAAACCAAGTCTATTTCATGCTATTCCGCTCTCTTTAACATAGTTAAAACCAAGTCTAATTTACGCTATTTCGCTCTCTTTTAACATACTTAAACCAAAGTCTATTTTATGCTATTCCGCTCTCTTTAACATAGTTAAACCAAGTCTAATTCATGCTATTCCGCTCTCTTTAACATAGTTAAACCAAGTCTAATTCACGCTATTCGCTCTCTTTTAACATACTTAAGCCCAAGTCTAATTTTACGCCCTGCCGTCTAGCTTGCCCTGTTAAACCCCCATACTAAAATCTCCGATTTTGGCTCAGAAATCATTAGCGCTGGCACTTAGCGATTTTCACGCAAAGTGTTTCTCGCTTTCTGCCTGTTATAAACCCGATACTAAGGTCGCCGAATTTGGCTCGGAAAACAATAGCAGCGGCACTTAGCGATTTTTGCGAACAAACCTCACTAAGCCAAAACAAAGACTTTGACGATCTTAAGCTTAACAGTATTAACTCTCTACCAGCACTTTGACCGGTTACTTTCGCCGCCCCATAGCGAAAGTAAATCACTTTAACGCAGCCTTATTTCGACTGCTTAACTTTATAGTTTTAACATTGCGCGTTTGCAATTGGGGGGAGAAATGTTCATTTCTGAACAAATCAATAGAACAAGGGCTAAATCTCAGCAGATCGTAGTACAAGACTACTCTCATGCTTACAACACCCCGTTCTGTAGTTAAGTCGTCTACAAAGGATTTATCTTTCCCAATATTTGAAATTACAAATCAGCCTACTCTCCACCGCCAGTACTTGACAGGCAGCGGAGTGCGTTGCAATTGTATGATGTTGGGTGTCCAGAAGACACCTATCGCTATTCGCGGCACATCGGGAAAGGTGAT